GGAAACTCTACTATTTGTACATTTAGTTTTGTGGATCTGAAAGACTTGGGGCAAGGGAGGTTTGTACAATAGTTAACCAACCTGGGTTAAGTATGAAGTATTCAGGCAACTTGTTCAGATGAGTTTGAGTTATATTTTCATTTTTGGGGATGCAATACCCAGGAGTCTGAGAATCTGCTATGCGGGATGAGAGCAATCTGTTTTAGATAATGCATAGTTTTAATTCTTTGTGTAGTTTTAAACATAAACTGAAAAGTTGACGTGATGGATAAATAATGGCCGTTACGTTAACCACAATTATTACATGGATAGCATTTAAAATGCCTCCCTCAGAAGTATGTCTACTGAGATTGAGTAGTAGAAATTATTGGGAACCTTCTTTTTTATTGAAGCAAACTCGGCATGACTGCCAGAGATGCTGATGAGGTTTATTAGTGAATTCCTGGAGTATCTCATGATAGCTATACTGTACTGCTTTGAAGCAAATGAAAGCTATTAGTTTAAAATAAAAAGCAGATGCTTATGTTTCTCTAAGAAAAACATAAACCTGATGTTTTAAGCCTTTTTCCTTCAATCCTAGCATTCCCATATAACATTCAAGAAGGTTTATTGGTTGGCACAGGATTACACCCTTTAAAGGTCTTTAGCACAGAAGTTGTAAGACTTGAATTACTGAATTAGTTCAGCAAACTATGGTGCAAATTTATAGTGAATGAATTAGCCTCAAAACACAACTCACATCTACCAGTAGTTAAAATATATATGCTAGAATAGGCGCAGGGATCCTCCAGCCCCGATTGCCATCTTTGCCCACTGGCCTCGCTGGTTGATTAGTACGGACTATGACTTCACAGAGTTCTGAAACTTCTTAAAGAGAAGCAGTCTGTCATAAGATACCATAGTTGGTCAGTCTCAAGAATGATATGAGAGACCTAAATATTAATCTATAACATGTATGTCTCTTTCTGAAATTGGATTTCTTGTTCTAGGGGCGAGAAAAGTAATGTTTTAGAGGAATAAGACAATCCAACTGTCTGAGAAGTGAAAAATTGTGTGTGTGTATGTGTTTAAGAACACACATTGTGGATTGGATTCAGAGATAATTATACTTCATACTCAGACCTATGAAATCAGTGGGATTTCAGTTACTTTAATACTAAGTGTGGTGAAATGTTTATCCAACGTAGTCATTAACATTTAATCTTGCAAAGCTACCTTTTTATATTGGAGACATATATAATTGATTTGTACTTATACTGGAGACATACCTTGAACTGTAATTGACTTCAGTAGTAGCGATGATGAAGGTAACTCTCTGAGATAGAGTTTTGACATGCTGGTTCAGGAGCAAGATTGGGCTTCTCTGTTCAATCTTTTTTGGTTTCTACTTAAAAGTGGCTAAAAAGGTTTTACTTTTGGATGGCATTCTAGAAGCAGAATTTTCTATAATCTAGTTTTTAATATCTAGAATTAGGTTCCTGGAGGTAGATTGAACTCAAAGCTGCTTCACACATGCAGAGTGAATGTCATGGAGTTGAAGAAAAAACATGTGATGTGTGTCCATGTGGAATTAACCCTCAGATTTTGACTGCCCACTGCCAATCAGCATAAGTAATTTTGTAGTTGCTTAAAATTTGGAGTGGGGCTTTGCTTTCATTCTGAAAAGATAAATTAATATCCCAATTAGTCTATCTTTTCTTACGTTCTTATTGAACTCTGCCCCTCTCAGATTTGACAGTACTGCTGATAGCTGTGCAGCCCATCCAAAGCCACCATAACTACACACAGAAATGTATTCAAATGAAGTATTTGAAATAGTACCAGAATAGTGCCATTTTAAATGATGGCAAATCATAGGTAAGAGGCATTCCTGTGCCTTGAAAACTTAGTCATGCAAGTTAAGCATTTCATACCTTGCTGGTGTACCACTTAGCTTCAGACCTAAGAATGAGACAGGGTTTGTTTTACAGTTTTTGAAGTATTATCTGAAGGCAGAAAATCCTGCCATCTTTATACTGCAGTTAAATGTCATATAGCAGTTAGATGAAGTATAGACTCCAAAAACGCTAACTGCAGAATCATACAGTGAATGGTATCAGAATGGACTTTTCTGATACTATTGTCTCCTTAATTGCTTAGCAGTTACCATTTGTGATATGGTGGCAGTTAAGCATGCTTGTAAAAACCATGGCCATATTAAAGAAATGGTTATGAGAGAAGGTCCTTTCATAGACTGAGGCAAGGCTGAGAGTAAAAATAAATGAATACTTATAGCAAGAGGATGTAAATATCAAGGGGAAATTGATTTCCGCAGAGTTCTGTATTGGAACCACTGCTTTTTCACTTCAAAAATGACCTGAAATTAGAGATGACAGTGATTGCTGAGGACACCAAATTCTTTAGGGCTGCTCAAATGAACAATAGAAAAAACCCCAAACAGTAAAGCATTCCAGAAAGCTTTCTCCAAATGGGCACTGAAATAGCACATTCCATTAAATGTAGGCAAGTGTATAGCAATGCATACATATGCACGCGCATGTGCACGCACACACACACACACACACCAGCTGCACATAAGTTTGAGCTGGTGACTAATAAGGAAAGATATCTTAAGGTTGTGATAGATAGCTCACTGAAAATCTTGGCAGCTTGCGGCTTTCATCAAAATAGCCAATTCTACGTTGGTGGTAGAAATAAAAAGGAAACCATAAATAAAACTGCCAATGTCATAATGCTTTTTACAAATCTATGGTGTAACCACTGGGCGCAGTTCTGGATAATGCACTGGAAATATTTTCTGGCTCCTTGTCTGAAATAGCTTGACTCTATTTCAGAATTAGCTATTGATAAATTTTATTTAATCTGGGGTTCTTCTGTTTCTTGTCCTGTGTCTGTCTCCTAGAGTAGTCTGACAGATGAATTGAAGAGAGATATTGAATATATATTCTGTAGGTATATTTTATACTGCAGGAAGAGTGTTGGTTTTTTCAGAGGAGCATCATACTGTAGAGCTGTTCTATACTATAGTTCTAGGTGGCATTCAGACTTACCAGGTTTTGAGATGTAGGGAGGAAAGGTGCATTTATGAAGGCGGATGTTCTGGGAACATGTTCAGAACCAAACTAGAAGGTGGTTGTAGTTACTGTTTCATAACCAGAGCGTTCAGATACTAGATCTAATGCCCAAGGGCTAGTGTATAGCCAACATTTGCAAAAAGACTCCAGTTTAGTAGAAGTAACAGGTGGGAGTTGCAGAAATGAATAATTGTCTGTAGAGAAGTTAGCTTTATTTAGTTCATAGTGACTTTCTTCAAGTATTTCATTGGATTGTGAACTCCCATGTTAATAGTGAAATTCTCACTCATGATTTCCGGCTTTGGTTCATTGTTTTTATGGGATTGAAACATTTGCATGGAATGGTATATGAAACATCAGATACAGGACTTAATAAAAATGCATTCAGGACATGTATTTTTTTCATAACTTCCATGATGTGTAGAACTAAAAGCTGTTTAGTTATTATTGACAGGTCTTTTTAAAATAACAACAGAATTCTACTTGATTAAGTGTGTATCTTGCTTTAGTGTAGTGAGTGATTGAGGAAATAAAGTGCTACACCTTTTCATCGACTGGTGATTTAAATCCATGTTTACAAGAATACTCCAAATTTACACTGCCAAAGAGCAGTTCGCTTTTGTTTCCTTATGAACTGAGTTTGTGGATGTTTTTATTCAGTGCAGCAGTTGGAAATCTCGCAATGCTAATTTCAGACCTGCTGTTGTTGCAAACCGTGGATCTTTTGTCTGTGACTCCACGGGAACAGAATTAGATCTTCAAATCTTTGTGTTAAGCACTTACGACTAAAAGGCGACTTGCCTTGTACGGATAACCAATAGGGAATCTCTGCCTATAGGGACTTACGTGGACATTCTTTGGTTATATCACTTTCTAACCAGAATCGTTAATGGAGACTGAAATGGAAAAGTGGGAGATAGGGGAGTTCTGGAATGTATAACATTCTTGTGCTGAAATTGTTTACATAAAAAAAAAAAAAAAGATTACATGTATGACTTTGTAATCTCTAATGTGCAATTTTGTACATGTTGTGTTAAAACTATGTTTATAAGATACTGTATGTAAAAAGACTTGACGGAGTATTTGATATAAACATCAGAACATTAAAATGTCTTTATATTCATACTAAGGTTGTGTGTGTTCTTCTTTTATCCTCCCAAAATGAAAGCATCAGGTGCTAACACTAGGTGAAAATCATTGCCTTTAGGCTTATGCAGATCTTGTGAAAGAGGGGCTTAGGAACACGCAAGAGTGTGTATGAAGTCCTGTCCGTTGGCTGATTAAAGCAGCTGCCTCTTTCTCCAGTCTCATTTGGCTATTTCCAAGCTGCCCCCCACTCTCTGCCTGAGTGTATATGCATAGCTATTTCACTTTGCTGGGGAAAAAAGAAAACAGAGTGGCTGTGAATACCCATGCATCTATTCATAGCCAGGAAGAGCTTATGAAGCAGCTGTGCATGCTGGGAAAAAGACACAGTTGCCTTAGTGGGACAAAGACAAATGCTTCATACATGTCCCTACGCATTACAGAGCACCTTTTTTTAAAGGATCTGCATAACCCTAGCTTCCAGGGTAAATGTACAGGTACACTAGGAAAGACATGTTGCCAGTTTAGAGAGCAGTATCTAACCCTGTCCGTTTGTAGAGAACTACAGTAACTTTAAAGACAGAAGTACGGATATAGCTTTTTGAAACAAAAATACACAAATATCTGCATAGGTATTTCTGTGACTAATGCCTCTTCATAAAATAGCTTGCTATTTTTATTTTGAAAAAAATTATGATCATTAAAACAAATTAAAGTAGCTGGAAATTTACACATTATAATATGAATAATCCTATATGAATAGTAAATACTATCCCATGTTAAAAGATATCTTGTGTAGTTGTTAGATTTATGCTCTGGCTT